TCCGCCCCCTAGTAAAACACTCCCCTCACACAGTTAACCCTTTCAGTAAATAAAAGTTAACTCCTTCCTCCCCAGTGCCATTAGTACAGTGTCAGTGTTTTGTTTTTGTTTTTTTGCACTGATCACTGTATTGGTGTCACTGGGGATGTCAGTGACCCCAAGTCTGTTCCCCCCCAGTGTCAAATTGTCCGCCGCAGTCCCGCCATAAGTCGTCGATCGCCGCCATAAGTCGCTGATCGCCGCCATTATTAGTATAAAAAAAAAATTTAAAATACCAGTATCTTTACCGCCATTTGTAAATGCTATAACTTTCACGTAAACCAATTAATTTACATGTATTGGGTTTTTTTTTTTTTTTTTAGCAAAGACATGTCGCAGAATGCATTTTGGCCGAAATTTATGTTGAAATTTGATTTTTACATTTTTTTTACTGTACGTGTTTTATAGCAAAAAGTCCAAAATATTTTTTTTTTTTCTCAAAATTGTCAGCTTTTTTTTTTTAAGTGCAAAAAATAAAAAAATGCACAGGCGATCAAATACCACCGAAAGAAAGCTCTATTTGTGTGAAAAAAGGACATAAATTTAATTTATGTACCGTATTGCATGACTGCACAATTGTCCATTAAACTAGCGCAGCGCTGTATAGCAAAAAAATGGCGTAAATTGCAGTATGTATACCATAGTTTGTAGACGCTATAACTTTCACACAAAGCAATCAATATACACTTATTGGGATTTTTTTTTTACCAAAAACATGTAGCAGAATACATTTTGGCCTAAATTTATAACTAACTTTGAGTTTACTATATATTTTTTACAGCTGAAAGTAAAAAAATATTGTTTTTCTTCAAAATTTTTGGTCTTTTTTTTGTTTATAGCGTGAAAAATAAAAAGCGCGCAGGTGATCAAATACCACCGAAAGAAAGCTCTATTTGTGTGAAAAAAAGGACGTAAATTTCGTTTGGGTGCAGCATTGCATGACCACGCAGTTATCAGTTGAATTAGTGCAGCGCCGAGTAACAAAAAGAGGCCTGGTCATTAAGGGGGGTAAATCCTCAGGAGGGCAAGTGGTTAAAAAAAAAAAATGGGCTTTATGGCGACCTCATTTTTTAAAATATTTTTAACATTGCACGGTTTATCTCCTCTTCCTCTCACTGCCTGTCTCCAGCACTGCACCCAGGGACATCAAAGTCCCCATCTTTACCCCTATACATCAGAGTCCCCCCTTACATCGGTGTCCAGCGTAATCCCTGCTTACATTAGACCCTGGCAGAATGCCCCCTTCAGTCAGAGCTCAGCGGGGTGCCCCCTTCAGTCAGAGCTCAGCTGCTAACTGAACATGAAATAGTTAAGTGTAAAGCTCTTGGAAGAACAGGGAGTGGGGAGGTAGATAAGAGAAGAGAAAAAGGTGGGGAAAGCTCAGTGGCAGAGCACAGACCGCTCATCCCCAGGCTGCTTGCTGCAGGCTCGACATCGGCAATCATACATTCAGATGGATCTTCAGATTTCCCACCCACGGGGCAGTCACAGAGGAGAGGGGTGGGAAGAGGTGGAGAAAAACTTTCTCTCTCCTCTCCTGTCTATGGGGGGGAAGTGTGCTGTCTGAATGAGTGTCAGACACTGGCATGCACAGCTGCAGCCTGTCCGCTCCAGAGTTTACATTCTTAAGCATGCCCTGCTACTTGCCCGCAGCAAGGCTAAATGTAAGGAAAAGCGACCTGCCTGGCGCCTGGAACTACATGTCCCAGGGATCGGGCGATAGGATTTGCACATCCCTGAGCATGTGTTTACTGCAAATGGAGTGTTATTTACAGTTTTCATGCAGGCATTTCTATAGCTGTGGGGCTTATGTTGGGTGGCCCCTGGTTGGCTTCGCCCTTGTTATCTCCATACGGTGGGGGTGTGGTGATGTTTTACACCTGGTCTTTCCCCTATATATGGGGCATTGGCACCTCCAGTTGTCTTAGCTCTGAGGAAGGGAGTGTGTCTGCCGAAACACGTCAGCTATTTTCAACCGGACAGTTGTTTTCACAGGATCCTTGTCTGGGACTGAAAAATTTGGCTCAATGTCTGTTTTTATGGTCTTTTTGTGAGCATGCATTTGTTTCACCACGATAATGCACGAGGAGAGTGCGCCTTCTTGTGTTTTCTCTTGACATCACCAAAAGAACATCATACCCACAGTGAAGCATAGTGGTGGCAGCATCATGCTTTTTTGCGGCCGTTTTTTTTTTTTTTTTTTTGGTTTTTTTTGTTTTGTTTTTTTTTCAGCTGAAACTGGGGTCTTTGTCAAAGTAGAGGGAATTATGAACAGTTCCAAATACCAGTCAATATTAGCACAAAACCTTCAGGCTTCTGCTAGAAAGCTGAACATGAAGAGGAACTTCATCTTTCAGCATGACAACGACCCAAAGCATATACATCCAAATCAACAAATGCCGCGTCCCCTAAACAATTAAAGTTTTGGAATGGCCCAGCCAGAGCCCAGGCCTGAATCCGATCGAAAATCTATGTGGTGATCTGAAGAGAGCTGAGCACAGGAGATGCCCTCGCAAATTGACAGATATGGTGTGTTTTTGTAAGGAAGAATGGGCAAATATTGCCTAGTCAAGATGTGCTGTGCCATGCCGATAGACCCATACCCAAAACAACTGAGTGCTGTAATAAAATCAAAAGGTGCTTCAACAAAGTATTAGTTTAACGGTGCGCACACTTATGCAACCATAATATTTTAGCTTTTTATTTTTACTTCCCTTCACCTAAAAGATTTCAGTTTGGTGTTCAACCGAGAGTTGTACAGTTTATAGGTTACATTACAGGTTCTGAAATTATTTATCTTTGTCTCATTTTTTTACATCACAGAAACCTGACATTTTAACAGGGGTGTGTAGACTTTTTATATCTCCTGTATATTATCTCATAGAAAATGTTAGAGTACTTTAAAGTGGTTATAAAGGCTATGAGTTTTTTTTATATATACAGTCAGGTCCATAAATATTGGGACATGGACACAATTATAACATTTTTGGCTCTATACACCACCACAATGGATTTGAAATGAAACAAACAAGATGTGCTTTAACTGCAGACTGTCAGCTTTAATGTGAGGGTATTTACATCCAAATCAGGTGAACGGTGTAGGAATTACAACAGTTTGCATATGTGCCTCCCACTTGTTAAGGGACCAAAAATAATGGGACAGAATAATAATCATAAATCAAACTTTCACTTTTTAATACTTGGTTACAATTCCTTTGCAGTCGATTACAGCCTGAAGTGTGGAACGCATAGACATCACCAGACGCTGGGTTTCATCCCTGGTGATGCTCTGCCAGGCCTCTACTGCAACTGTCTTCAGTTCCTGCTTGTTCTTGGGGCATTTTCCCTTCAGTTTTGTCTTCAGCAAGTGAAATGCATGCTCAATCGGATTCAGGTCAGGTGATTGACTTGGCCATTGCATAACATTCCACTTCGTTCCCTTAAAAAACTCTTTGGTTGCTTTTGCAGTATGCTTTGGGTCATTGTCCATCTGCACTGTGAAGCGTCCAATGAGTTGTGAAGCATTTGGCTGAATATGAGCAGATAATATTGCCCGAAACACTTCAGAATTCATCCTGCTGCTTTTGTCAGCCACCATGCCACCATGCTTCACTGATGAGGTGGTATGCTTAGGATATGAGCAGTTCCTTTCCTTCTCCATACTCTCCTCTTCCCATCACTCTGGTACAAGTTGATCTCGGTCTCATCTGTCCATAGGATGTTGTTCCAGAACTGTGAAGGCTTTTTTACATGTCGTTTGGCAAACTCTAATCTGGCCTTCCTGTTTTTGAGGCTCACCAATGGTTTCCATCTTGTGGTGAACCCTCTGTATTCACTCTGGTGAAGTCTTCTCTTGATTGTTGACTTTGACAGACATGCACCTACCTCCTGGAGAGTGTTCTTGATCTGGCCAACTGTTGTGAAGGGTGTTTTCTTCACCAGGGAAAGAATTCTTCGGTCATCCACCACAGTTGTTTTCCGTGGTCTTCCGGGTCTTTTGGTGTTGCTGAGCTCACCGGTGCGTTCCTTCTTTTTAAGAATGTTCCAAACAGTTGTTTTGGCCACGCCTAATGTTTTTGCTATCTCTCTGATGGGTTTGTTTTGTTTTTTCAGCCTAATGATGGCTTGCTTCACTGATAGTGACAGCTCTTTGGATCTCATCTTGAGAGTTGAAAGCAACAGATTCCAAATGCAAATAGCACACTGGAAATGAACTCTGGACCTTTTATCTGCTCATTGTAACTGGGATAATGAGGGAATAACACACACCTGGCCATGGAACAGCTGAGAAGCCAATTGTCCCATTACTTTTGGTCCCTTAACAAGTGGGAGGCACATATGCAAACTGTTGTAATTCCTACACCGTTCACCTGATTTGGATGTAAATGCCCTTAAATTAAAGCTGACAGTCTGCAGTTAAAGCACAGCTTGTTCGTTTCATTTCAAATCCATTTTGGAGGTGTATAGAGCCAAAAATGTTAGAATTGTGTCGATGTCCCAATATTTATGGACCTGACTGTATGATGTATTTCTAAATGCACCACATATAACTGGCTAATAATATTTTTCCCCTGATGGATCATGCGTTATAACTTTTTTGTTTTCCTGCGGATCAGCTATGGTTCTCTATGTGCAGGACTTGTTTTCAACCTCTTATACTCAAACTTTCATGCAAAATGTGCTTTTGTTGGTGGATCATCTTGTTGATTTGTATATAAGAGGAAATGCAGGTATTGAAGTTCTAAGGGATTGTTGTCCATTTTTTTGTGTTTTTGTTTTGTTTTCTTTTTAATGTGCAACAATGTGGTATATTGTAGTATCCTGTGCCATTTTCTTAGTTTTGGTTAAGATGTTTGGTAATTGGGTTATGTAGTCACACTACACCTGGGCCGACTTGGCTCTTAAACCAAAGTACATGTTTTTGTGAGCATGTAATATTTTTTTTTCTTTTCTTTTTTTAGGATACTGACCTGAAGAAGACAGTTGATGAGAGTGCTCGAATTATGAGAGCCTATAACCATTATTTTGACCTCACCGTTGTAAATGACAACTTAGACAAGGCCTTTGAGAAGCTCCAGGCAGCTGTTGAGAAGTTGCGAGTGGAACAGCAGTGGGTTCCAATTAGCTGGGTCTACTGACTTCTTGAGCTATAAATTTTATTAACCAATAATAGACACTACGCAGCGGGAGCTTCTACGGAGTGGAGACCTGGGTTCCTTGTATTTGTTTCCACGTAAGGATTGAAAGGATCGTACACTGTTCTGAATTTTTATAGAACACTTTGAAGGGAAAGTGTACTTAAATATGTAATTTATTTTAATTTTTATAACTTTTTAAAGATAATCTTTCTATTCATAATACATGAAGGAAATGCGTTAAAGCATTTTTTTGTGATTCTTAATTTGGTACGTATTTTTTTTTTTTCATCTGAGAAAGTTTGTCATTAATATTTTGGTCTTACATTTTCACTGTGATTACAAAGGATACTTGAAATAATTTTCTAAGTCTATGTCGTTTGATACATAAATGGATTAAAATGTATTTGTATATGTCATCAACTTTTTTTTTGCTAGGAAAAAAGTAACAGAACTGTAAGTCATTGTGACATCCTTTTCTTATATGAAGATCTGACTATTGCAAGTAAGATAAGGCTGCTGTAGCAGTCCAAGGGCAATACCTATCATTATTGCAAGGGGCCTTTGTTTTATATATTTTATTCAGTATAAGTGAGAAATGTGCAGATGACTTTTAAGAGTTTGGTCCAATTAAAAAGCAGGATGTTGTTATAAAATGATGAGTTTTGTGAAAACACTTTTACCTATATTGCTAGCTTTTGCAGAGCAGCTGTTATGCAAGCTGACCACCCAACACCCCTTATTGATATGTGTATCTGTCCTCCCCACTACATTATTGTGATGGATAGTCCCTGTGGAAAGTACATAATCATATAGGCAAAGTTTTTTTTTTTTTTTTTCTTAATCAAAAATGTAAACATTTCAAAAGTTTAATTTTGTTTTTAAGATGACCTACCAGAACTTTTTATCTGGGTCATATCTAGCACTGGTGACTTGTATGACAGATCTGTGTTACTATTGCTGTCTGTGTCCCCATTTGGGAGATTCTCTATACTGTGTGTAAGACAAAACAGGGAGTGAAGGAAAATATCCCCACTTCCTTTCAATCTAACAAATGTCAGAACCGGAAGTGAGGGGAAATCCCTTCAGCTGAGATGCAGGCAGCAATAATAAAAAAAAAATATATATAATGGGGGAAATTGCCTCACTTCCTGTTTGTGATATTTTGAACTGGATGAGAAACAAAATTCCCTCTATAGGCACACAGTCATCTAAATGTGGTGCTAACCTTCATGTACATTTGTCAAAACTTATACCAAAAGGTTGGGCTGCAGTTGGGACTTGGGTCCATGCAGGGCAAAGCAGCAGGCTCTCTTTAACTTTCCAGCACACATACTTAGTTTCCTTCACTCCCCTGCTGTTCTGTTTGGCAGTCCAGAGCAGGAGATGCCAGCTTGTGTAACGTATGTCAGTGACATTGCAGCTTGCACAGGGCTATGGACTCCCCTCATGTAACAAGGTTAGTGATTGACCCAGCGCTATCACATAGTTGGGAGTCATATGCTGCGGCACACATGGAGATGCCAGGTATTTCCTTCACTCCCGTAACTAGAATGGAGTCAAGAGCAAGTAAAGAAAAGGCGAGTATGTGCTGTTGGCAAGGTATAAAGTGAACTTGTTGCTTAGCTGTGGATGAGAAAAATACAGGTTTGCTTTAAACCGGGGGACAGCCTTTGGCTGAGCCAAGTAATTAAAGCTAGCTGTAGAGTGTGTGTGTGTGTGTGTGTGTGTGTGTGTGTGTGTGTGTGTGTGTGTGTGTGTGTGTGTGTGTGTGTGTGTGTGTGTGTGTGTGTGTGTGTGTGTGTGTGTGTGTGTGTGTGTGTGTGTGTGTGTGTGTGTGTGTGTATCACTGCTGAAATGGCTGAATTTCAATCAGTGTATGACCAGCTTAAGGTTGCCATAATTTAAAGCTTCAACTAAGGCAAGTTAGCAAGCAATATGACCAGTTGCTTTTGACAATTTAAACTTGTAGAGATAAACTATTGGTTCCAAACTTCAGAAGCAATCCGCATCACACAAATACAGTATTATCTGGTTATTTTTTACAAATTATTTTACCATACAAGTTGAATTACAAAAAAGACTGATTTATCAGAGCGCAGTTTGTGTCTTTCTGCTAGACATGACCACTGTTAGACTTGTGATTATGTTCCAGAGAATAGCCTGATGAAGGAATGGAGGTAACTACATGCCAAATACTTTGCTTCATAACCACAGTCTTTACTGAACCTTCATTAGATGACCAGCATGAAAATGTCATATGCATTTCAGGCATCTGGGCAGGAAGTTGTAGCAGATGCTGTCTCAAAGGGTAACAAAGTGCATTCTCTGGCAGTCATTTGATAAAAAGTCAATAAAGATAGTGATTTTACTGGATAGTTGTTGGGCCAGTGCTAGCAAGTTTCTAACATCTCAACTGTCCGTTTCTATAATGCATTGCTTTAGGCAGGAAAATGAATTTAATGGATTTAGATACATGATCCTGGATTTACAATTAGGTCCATGTATATTTGCACACAGGCACAATTATATTTTCTTTCAGGTATTTACCAAAACATATTCAAGCTATAGTTATATATTGGATATAGGCTGAAAGTGCAGACTCTCAAGTTTAATTTGAGGGTATGTACATCCAAATTGGAAGAGGGGGTTAGGAATTACAGCTCTTAAGAGTAGCCACCCCCCCCCTTTTTTTCAAGGAACCAAAAGTAATTGTACTATTGAATATAATCATTAATAAAATGTTCATTTTTAATATTTTGCTGAGAATCCTTTACTGCCAATAACTGCCTGAAGTCTGGAACCCATGGAGATTACTTAAGACTGGGTTTCCTCCTTTCTGATGCTTTGCCAGGCTCTAACTGCAGCTGTCTTCAGTTGTTCTTTGTTTGTGGCCTTTAGTTTTGCCTTCAGCAAGTGAAATGCATGCTCAATTGGGTTGAGGTCAGGTGATTGACGCGGCCATTGCAGAATATTCCACTTCTTTTCCTTCAAAAGCTCCTGGGTTGCTTTTGCAGTGTGTTTTGGATCATTGTCCGTCTGTACTGTGAAGCGCCGTCAAATCAACTTTGCTGAATCTGGGCTGACCATATATCTCTAAACACTGCAGAATTCATGTAGCTGCTTCTGTTTTCTGTCACATCATCAGTAAACACCAATGACCCAGTGCCACTGGAAGCCATGCATGCCCATGCCCTCAAACTGCCTCCACCATGTTTTACAGATGATGTTGTGTGCTTTGGATCATGAGCTGTTCCAAGCCTTCTCCACACTTTTTTCTTTCCGTCATTCTGGCACAGATTAATCTTCGTTTCATCCGTCCAAACGATGCTTTTCCAGAACTGGTCTGACTTTTTTTTTAGATGGTTTTTGGCAAAGTCTAATCTGGCTTTTCTTCAGGTTTATGAATGGTTTGCATCTTGTGGTGAACCCTCTGTATTTGCTCTCGTGAAGTCTTCTCTTGATTGTAGACTTTGACAATGATATGCCCACCTCCTGGAGAGTGTCCTTCACTTGTCTGGTTGTTGTGAATGGGTTTTTCTTTACCATAGAGAGGATCCTGCGATCATTCACCACTGTTGTCTTCCTTGGATATCCATGCCTTTTTTATGTTGCTGAGCTCACCAGTGCATTCTTCTTTCCTCAGAATGTACTAAACTGTTGATTTGGCCACTCCTAAAGTTGCTGCTATTTCTCTGGTGGATTTGTTTAGTTTTTGAAGCCTTACAATGGCCTGTTTCACTTGCATGGACAGCTCCTTTGAACGCATGATGTAGGTTCAGAGCAATAGATTCCAAATGCAAATACCACACTTAGAATCCTCTCCAGACCTTTTACCTGCTTAATTGATGAAGAAATAATGGAGTAGCCCACACTTGGCCATAAAACAGCTTTTGATTCAGTTGTCCAGTTACTTTTGGTCCCTTGAAAATGGGGGGATGGCTACTCTTAAGAGCTGTAATTCCTAACCCCTTCCTCCAATTTGGATGTACATACCCTCAAATTAAACCTAAGAGTATGCACTTTCAGTCCATATCCATTACATAACTATAGCTTGAATGTTTTGGTAAATACCTTATAAAAACTAAAATTGTGCCTGTGTCCAGTATATATGGAGCGAACTGTATCTATAAAATATAAGCTTACATTTTCCTTTTCTGAAAGATATCCTATACTGCCATATCATCCAGAAATGCCTTTTTCTTTTTACAAATGAAACCTTGAAAGAGTCATTAATCCTAGATCAGAATAGGATTTGGTTATCACTGTATATTTATGTCTGGTACAATATTTGAACCGGCTTCTCTGTGCCAAATTTAATGCGTGTTATCTTATCCAGTCCTCTCTCTAAAAAAACAATGGGAGTTATTTTCTAAAACTGCATGGTGCAAAATCTGCTCTAGTTATGCATGGAAACCAATCATCTTCCAGGTTTTGTCGAAGCTTAATTGAACAAGCTGAAGTTAGAAGACGATTGGCTACCATGCACAACTGCACCAGATTCTGAGTGCACCAGTTTTAGTAAATCTCTCCCAATATCTTGCTGGACAAAAGTTGATAAGATTTTCAGCTAAAATAATATGAGTGTATGTTGAGACAAGTTTCACATTACTTACCTTAAAGAACCAAAGGTTAGTTTTCTGGAAGGAATTTGAATTTTTTTTGTGAGAAGCTGCAGAATTGTTTTAAGAGGAAGCTTAAATATCCTAATCGTACAGGACACAGGCAACCTACCCATACACAATGGGTTATATTCTCGGACCTTCAGGTGATTGGACATTGGCAAGCTTTTTTGAAGACATGTCCCACTGGACAAGAAAAGCTACTTCCTATAACCCTACCCCACTCCGTGAGCCCTCAGTTTTTTGCTAGTGTCTGTAGGTGATGAACCTCTTCTATTTTTTTTTTTTTCCCCCAGAGACACCAACTTCACAATTGTGTTTTTTTTTTTTTATCCTCCAATTCCCCAGTCAAGCCTCACTGTCTTCTAATGCTTGCCTACA